CCCCAAAACCCCAAAACCCCAAAACCCCAAAACCCCAAATTAAGAACAAAATGTTGAGTTTAGGGATTTTATAAATAGGAACAGAAAATTATGATGTTTTTGTGATGGAAAATGAACACTTTTGATAGCATGCACTCGAATTTATGTGAGGATAGCAGAGAAAAGATATGAAATTTTTAATTTAATCTATTTAGACATCTGGGAAAGCAGGTTTGTATGTTACCAAACATGTGTTTTGTCCATACTTGAGTCTAATATGACCGTCTTCTCCAAATGCTTTACCCCAAGAGTTCCTGACAACCCAAGCATCTTCTTTCTTTTGATACCCTACAATGACAGCTGAATGATCCATATGTGTTCCACAATTAGTTATGACTCCACTTTGATAGTATGGCCAATCTTCTCCATCAACTGCAATAGATATAGGCCCATCTTTTAATGCTGCGTACATTGCTTCTTCATTGTTCCTAAACCAATGATGAGCCCAATCCGCAAGGTGACCCTTAGATCACTTAAAACTGTTTAAAGCTTTTAGGACGATTTATAGACCTAAATTAAGATATATTTTGGAAATTTTAAACATATCTCAGATAATATATGATTATTAAAGAAAATCTAATATTTTTATAAAGATCAAGTCTATCTCCCTCATCTGAAACAAATAATTTATTCCTGAGTCTTTAATAATGAAAAATTAACAACTTCGTTTAGAACTTTATTGACTGTAAAAACCATCACTTTTGTGACTCATCTAATGAAAATAATTTTCCTTTATATCTCCCCAAGTTTCAAGGTTCTTGAAGTCTTAAATTTCTAAAGCGCAGGACCAAATCCTAGCTCAGTTACTTACCTGATTAAGGTAGAGCCTTCGGTTGTGATACTCCCATAACATGTTTTACAAGCCCCCTTACGATGGACATATTTGTAATCAGAAGCATCACAGATCGGATTCTTTTCAGCGTATTTCCAAAAATCATCATACCATCCTCCATTGCATCCATAACTTTTACTAGTACAATCAAGAGCTTGTTGCTCTGATAATTTCTCTATTTTTCCATATTTCTTTTGGTATCTTCCTTCCAAAGAAGCTATTGCAGAGAAAGCCCAACAAGATCCTCAGCTTGTTCCTTGATCCTGAATAGGCTTCATATACTTCTTCCAATCAATAGAACTGGTAGGTTTGGCTGTCAGTTCAAATACTTTTGCATGAGTTTCATCAGTTCTGAAATCTATAGCTCCCATCCTTTGCTTCATCTCCTCTCTTGTTCTATCAGAGAAAATAGTTATTCCAAATTTAGCGTAAGGATTTAACTCATCAAGTTGTTTGGCTCTGACCATGTTTTGTTTGAAGATAGCTCTTCTAAAATCCAGTTCTGTATCTGTCGCATAGTTCACCCCATACTTGGCAATAAAATCTTCAAATTCAGCATCTTCTGGCGCTGGACTGGAGGTTAAAGCCACGCAGAGGAACCCTAATGCTGAGATTAAGGATATTAGGACTAAAGTTTTCATATTTACTCAATAATAGTAACTAATTGTGGGGTTTTGGGGTTTTGGGGTTTTGGGGTTTTGGGG